TATGAGTGGCAAGGGACAGAAGTAGACAGATTTGGCCATCACATAGTATATGCAAAGTCCCCCAAGCACCCTATTAAGACAATATGAAAATGGTGGTTCAGACACGGGTATACACAATTATTCCAGATTTTTGTACATCAGTTGTTTGCTATAGGGCCATGGCATTGTTGTGAACTATCAGTACTAATCTGATAAAAGGCATCACAACTTTCACATTGTTCACCATGGGTTCAAACCTCAGTTAAGTTACATTGGGGGCGGGGAGAAGACTTTTACATCCTATTCTTTGGATCTTCAACCTAAGATCTAGGTTGTCTTCTGTGTTCTACGTTCAACCTTGGGAGGCAAACCTTGAGCATCCACTCACAAGATGTAAGAATGTTGTTGTGGCATGTGTATATAGGAGCGTTCCTATTTTCATGTGCACGTTTTTCTGAGAGAATACTTCTGTATTTAGGTCAATCCCAAGTCACTGAGTGCATGAAGGCAAAGGAGGAACTTTGTCTACTTAGCCCCTTTATTTACCCCCACATAGGGTTAATCTGGCCTTATGAAGAGCCTGTGCATGTATAAACTAAATGCATGGAGTTTCTCTGCACACAGCCCTCTGCCTCATGACCCGAAGAGGCAAATCAATGGCAGGCGTGTGTACCACAGAGATGCTGATATCCATTGCCACCATATACATTAACTTGGTGTTTTTTTAGAACCCACTGTTTGGAACTAAAGGTCTTCAAAGAAGCTCACAGCTTTAAACTTGTAAATAAAGAAGCTGTTATTTATTTGCGTATTTATTCACAATATTTCTATACTGTCCATTCACAAAGTATAAAAATAAAGCACAGGCAGAACACCTAAAAAAAGCATCAGAATAAAATCAGCAACAGAAAACAACAGCGCAAATGTACTTTAAAAGCACTAGGACCAAAACTAGTAAGATCAGCAAAAATTCAGTATGAAGAGTTGCAATTGATAGACTCAATCCAACAAACATATTAAAAACAAAAAATCCTACCAGGATTAATATACCACTCATCATTCAGGCCTTCAAATCCTTTCTATAAAAAAATAAATAATGTATGAGCCAGCCATACAAACATAATTAGAGACATTGCTTGGCAGTCTTTAATTGTGCATACAAAGGTGTAAGTGGTCCCCACATGACGCTTTTCCATTCTGTGCTTCAACTCTCCAGGTTGGTTGAAGAATCTGTTGCTGACACATGTTGCACATTACAGATGGAAAAGCCACTGCTGCCATCCAGACTTCATGGGCAAGACCTCTCTGCTGGCATAAAGTCCCCAACTCCAGCTCAGCCAAAGATAGGTTGGCATAAGCTGGCAAACTTTGCTCATCCTGAGACCAGTGAAAGTCCTCTAAAAGGAGCATGGTGGGCATGGGGAGATCCAAAGCACATTCAACTCGGCCGTGTGACTACGGTCCAGCACAAAACATTATTTTAAAGACTTGTTTTCCATCTTCCAGGCTTAGGCAGAGCAGCAGCCTGCCCCATCACCTCTGCTGCTGGAGGAGGAACAGCACTGGCATCAGTACTGACTTCAGGTGGCAATGTGCCGATTTCTGACAAGATGTTGCCGAAATCGTGCAAGTTCTTGCAGACCACATGAGATTTACCAGAAAATGGCACAAAGTTGCAAAAAATTGGCACTGATACAGGTGCTACTTCTCTGCCGGAATCGATGGAGCAGGTGGGGTAGGCAACTGTCGCAAGGCACTTTCCCATTTCACCTCAAGTGGCAAAATGGGAGGCACAGCCCCTGTATAGCTGGCTTCTGCAACACTTCTGGTTCCGTAGACTTACTCCTGGTGAGAGTTAAGAATGTAGTGTGTGGGATTCTACAGTGCAGAGACTCTTATTTTTATGTGTATCTCTAGGGTCTCTTATTTAGCTCATTTACCTACTACGCAGGATTTTGGTTTTGGTTTTGAAGGCAATGTTGCAAATAATGCTTATTGCAGCCTAAGCTTTAAATAACATTGCATGAGTCAAATGAAGTACCATGTAAAAAAAGGGGGGGGGGAATTGCTGCATTTCCTTTCCAGCTCAGCTTTTATTTCATGTTCCAGCTGAAGGAGTTTGCTGTTCTTTACAGGATGAGAGTCAGACTCAAAATTGCTTGTCCATAAAATCTGCAGATTATCAACTATTACTGTTGTTCTTTCTCTGACATATCCCTTAAAAATCAGGAGAATGTGTAGCCTAGGAAAGGAGAGGATCGTTCTGCCTTCAGCTATAGAAAAAATCCAGTGCATCAGAACATTTATTGTAATCCTCAAGGAGGGACAGTGATATTTAAAAATAAGAAACAAAAACATTCCTCGCAAATTCCTTTAATGTTTGGCACCACAACTGCCGTGCTTGAGATCACAGCCTCCACTGAAGCCACAGTGGTCAGCAAAGGAATATAAGAAGCAACCAGCCAGCAAGCAAGGGCCAAAGGTCCATCCAATATTCTGTTTCCAAAGTGACTTCTGGAAAGAACAACATTATTCTGCTTTTCTCTCTGTTTAGGTCCTGCTGTTGTAACAGAAAGCATATTACACTGGCAACTGCCTTTTGCAGAGTGAGACCATTGCTGTCCACAATGATCACAAGCGCTTCTCTGGGGTTTTGGTTGGAAAGGAGTGTTTCCAAGCCCTATTCTGGAGATGCCCAACTGGATCAAACCTAAAAGCTTTTGTATGCATTGTGCTCCACCGCTAACCCTTTCCCCAAACCTGACAAAAACAGTGTTTACCATCCTCCAAAAAGTACCAGGAAGAAACAAGGACAGGAGCATCAAAGGCCGGGGCAAAATTTGGATGAGGAGAATTTTAAAAACATCCCCATTATCCACTATTAAAAAGACCAGGCAAGATGAAACACGAAGGAGTATGCTACTTAACTGCCCTCTTCTGCTGGTTCATATATTACACTAGAGTAAATGTGGATCATTTGTGGGTCCTTCACTGTTCTGTAAATAATAGGAGAAGTAGAATTTTCAGTGAATTTTGCTAAAGGACAAATTGGGAACAAACATGGCGGTCCTGTTCAAGGGTATAATCTGTGGGGGCTTCAAGGAAAATTAAAAGAATGCCGATGAGGATAGGAAAGAACTGGCATATTAAGAGCAAATGGAAGTTGGTCTGGTGTTCCTGTCCCTGACATTCATACGTTCCTAATCTCTGTACACAGACCCTACATGTTGTATGTGCAATAGAGGAGACAGCATTTTACAGGTTACCAAATTGTGATCCAAAGTCTAGACACTTCTGAGAGAGATGATGAGCTTTTTTTTCTTAGGATTGAAGTTGTTGAACTTTTTTTTAGGATTTTACTCCAGTGGATAAACTGCCACAGGGGCCGGATAAAAATGGACCAGTGGGCCAGATTACACCCCCAAAGCAGACTTTGAACATGCCTGCTTTGGAGGAACACACCTGGAAATACATGGCACAAGACAGTGGGGCCAGTGGCGTAGCGTGGGGGGTGCAGGGGGGGCCGGCCGCACCGGGCGCAACATCTGGGGGGGGCGCTCGCACTCGCAGCTCTCTGCCCCTACCTGGCTCACTCACTCTCTCTCACTGCAGTGCTGGCTGTGCAAATCCGATCCGAGCCGCTGGGTCGCCGCCCACTGTGGAGGGGGTGGGTGCCAGGCGTGCGGTGCAGAGAGAGAGCGAGGGACTATCTGGGGGAGGGACAGTGCAGCGGCCGCCCAGCGCAGCGCTGAGCGCGGGAGAGAACCACACCAGACCAGACCAGGCAGCAGCAAGAAGAAGCTGGCAGCGGCGGCAGGTTAGGGGTTAGGGGGCACAAATTACTTGCCTTGCCCCGGGTTAGGGGGCGCAAATTACTCAGGGGCTACGCCACTGAGTGGGGCCACTGTAAATAAAAGGTGGCAACCCTAATAACCCATCCTGCTTTTTATCTTTCACTTTTAACAAATTGTAACCCATCACTTGCTAAGTTCAGAACAAGGTTTTGTTACTAATGATGAGAGGAATCTTGAAAGTTCTCCACCTCACAAGAGAAGCAGAAGGAGTAGAACATGAGCCCAAGGCTCATTCCAGCTCATTCATGTAACAACAAAACATGGTTTTTGTTATGTCTGAACCCGGGCATTGTCTTCTGTCCTACTTTTTATCCATATCATTATGACTTCATGATTAATAAATAACACATGATCAGCTCTCATGCAGACCCAAAAATATATCTGAGGATTACATGGTAGCAAGTGGATGAGTGCCTTTGGGTCCACCATATATGGCAACGAAACAGGGAAGCAAGAGGAAAATCTAAGACACACACTTAGCAACTGAAGTAGTCTGATTCATCACAGAACTCCGTTACTTCAGCAGTTGTGCTTCTGCTACAAGGCGTAATTGGAAGCAGCAGCCAACAGTATCAGATATGAGGGGGAAAGGACTCCCACTGTGTAAGTACTGACTGCAAATCAGATTTGCTGTCTTGTAGGCAGTTTTGTTTTTAAAAAGATGTTATAGAGGAGAAGATCCTCGACTGGATGGAGCACCCTTGGCAGATAAAGAGGCAAGCAAATTAGTTCGGAAAAGGGAAGCAATGTTAAAAATGGCTGTGACAGAGATCAAAAGTGAAGAGAAGGGTATTATAAAAGAAATTATCAAAGAGGTAAAAAGGAAGATGAAAGAAAAAGCCTCTTCACAAGGTAGAAAAACAACTAATGTGTCTAACCTGCTTGCTTTTTTCACCATGTAACTGTGGAAATAGCCTTATTATTTGCTCGCAGTGTGAAACCAATTTTTTTTTTGGATATTGACACTGAAGCTGAAGTCATTAATTTAAAAAGCCACTTTCTGATGCAGTTTATGTGCTTAAAGGAGTAACAAAAGTCCTTTGGTAGAGCTGAGAATATGACCTGGCTAAACCAGAAAGCTTACAGAATACGGACAAATTCACACCACAGACTTAATATTGGTTTATTAATAACCATTTCTCTCTTCTCCAGAAAACATAAAAAGGTTGGAGTCTCTTGGGATTGAACCTGGAAGCTTCTGCTTGCAAGGCAGATGCCCTACCACTGAGCCATGGCCCCCTTAGAAACTAAACATAACACGGAACATAACCAAATTTGGTTGTCTGTGTCTAGGGAGAAAAATGTTAAATATACAGTCCTTCTCAAAACATTCTGAGTGTAGAAAGTCTAAAGCAAGAGGAAATAATGTTTTTCAGCACAAGGATCACATTCCCTTTGGGGCCACATGCCACTGTTGGGCAGGGCCAGAGGTGCTCATTGGGTGGAGCAATGATTCTGCTCACGGCAAGCTATGTGCAGGTTTCTGCTCAGGCAAGCAAGAGACATTATCACAGGGCAGTGACATATTCCAGACGGGCAAAAGCACTCAAAGAGGATGCAGAGGAGGGCTGCGGAGGAGGGCGGCCTACGGATAGTCAAGGGCCAGACAGTGACAGCTGGAGAGCCGTGTCTGCCCTCCACTTGGAGGTTCCTCACCCCTCGTCCAAAATCTGATTAAGATTTAAGTAAGCTTAATAGCTGAGGATCTGAACTGCAACCTTCCTTCTAAAGAACTGTTATAAAGATTACTGAGATAACATAAACGATGGTCTTTGAACAGTCCAAGGCACTGTATAAATGCTAAGAATTATGATAATCATCGGGGCCTAACAATCTAGCAAGCTGCAGCTGTCACATTTTGAATGTGAGATAATCACAGAACTGGCATAATAGGATAATTATTAGGGATTCCAAAGCTGTCTGTCAATAATGCCCTCCCTCCATAAGCTGTTGGTAACCCCCCTGCTGGCTGGCAAGTATTTTATTTGTTAAAAGCTTTGTGAGTAGGCCACTATTTGAAATGATTAACAGCATCAGTCAGTGTAACTAATCCTTGGTCTTAAGAGCTGATAATTTGCCAGTAAAAAACTTGCACAAGGTAGGACCACAGTACTTCAGAAGGTTGCCAGTGAAGTTTGCATGTTTGAATGCTCCCCAGGTAAAATAGTTCCAGCTGGATTGAAAAGCTAGGCTGTGTACATGCCAGAATGCTAATGTATACTTAGGTTTGATGTACAGCCATACCTCATGTTGCCTCCGCTTTAGGTTACGTGTTTTCGTGTTGTGTCCCACGGCAACCTGGAAGTACCAGAATGGGTTACTTCTGGGTTTCGCTGCTCACACATGCGCAGAAGCTAAATCACGCCACGCGTGTGCACAGACACAGTGCTTTGGCTTTCGTCAGTTCTGTGTTACGGACGGGCCTCCGGAACGGATCCCACCCATAACACGAGGTTCCACTGTACATACACAGGTTCGATTTTTCTGTGTGTGCTTTGGTACAAATTTGTCCCCACATAAGCGCTTCCAATTGAACACTAGCTCAATGTTTCTTGCCCACAACTGTGCATTTGATGGGGTATATTTGCACTGCTTCCTGTCCCCTCAGTTATCACTTCTTTTCCCCAAATTTCTTGAAACCCAAGGGTCATTGTGGGCATGCAGACAGGTATTTGTTTACATGTTTGTGCAGCCTTTTCTTTTTTAATATACAAGTTTTCCAGTGTATCAGAATTGCACAAAACAGTGGGTTAAGAAGGTGTGTGTGTGTGTGTGTGTGTGTGTGTGTGTGTGTTGTGCAGCCAGACATGGAGCACCTCCCACAATGGAAGCAGGGGGTGTAGTGATGGACTGCACCCTGCAATGAGTCACCACACACACAAAAAACAACAACACTGCCCACCCCTGAGGACATCCAGAGTTGGGCAACAGGGAATTTTGTGTTGGATTTCCCCCTTACTACTTTATCCGGGGATCAGAATTTTTTTTAACTAAATGGGGGGAAATATGATATAAATGGGCTGCCATTGGATGAGGAGATCATGGTGATACAATATCTAAAGGGCTGTGCTATAGCAGATGGAAGGGGCTTCTTTTCTAAGAAAGGGTGGGGGACTCGCCTCCATTGGAGGTTTTAAGCAGAGGTTGGCTGGTCATCTGTCAGGGATTCTTTTGCTGTCATTCCTGCATCGCAGGGGGTTGGACTAGATGACCCTTGAGGTCCTTTCCCACTCTACAATTTTATGATTCTAGGTAGATGGCACAAAAACACATGGGAGTTCTCAAATCCACTTTAAACTGCCATGTGTACACAGCCCTAGCCCTTTCCCTGACGTGCGAGCTTTACATGGCAAGACGGGTGTTGTGTTGTTGTTTTTAACATAGTAGAATATTTAAACACTCCACCCTGTCTGCTTTTGAAGCAGTACAGTCTCAGGATCGATGCGCCACATGATATTTCTGAATATGTCATTCAGCTACCATTAATTTCCTTGTCTTTACCAGCAGTAAAGGTCACCAGGTAACAGCAAAATGAAGTGACCAGATATGTTGATGACAATTTATGAAGATTTGGCTTCCCTAGGTTTAGATATTAGCCCATACAGATATTTTGTTTGAGAGATATACCTGACACGTCCTGTTTCCCCAGGGAACACAGCTCTTAGTGCCCCATCAGTTCTGCTCCATTTGTTCTGCTCTATCGCTAAGGAGTGGGTTTTCCCTTGGATGTTTTTTTTGGGGGGGAGTGGGGTTACAAAGTTTCATTGGTTGAAAACTGTATAACAAAAATGGTCAATAGATGTTAAAGACAAAATAAAAATAAACAGTCATTCATTCCTTAATTGGTACTTGCTTTGTACATCATTTTGTAATTAAATTTGACATGACCTCCAATCTTCCCATTATGTTCCCAGAGTAGATTCCTTGAATACGCGCTTAACTTTATTTTCTCCATGTTGTTTAGCTTACTTTAAATTTTTATAAAATTATCTTATTTACACATAGAAGTTCAATCAAAACCTGCCAACGGATTGATATTTTGACAATGTTCTTTTACATAAACTTGTATATGTCCCACTCTCTTGACAAATTTTTCATCTGTAACGTCTTGTAACCTTGCTGATAGTCTCACCAGTTCAGCATACTCTCTTAATTTATTTTGCCAGTCTGATTTGGATGGAATATCCTCTCCCTTCCAGCCTTTTGCAATTAAAATTCTGGCAGCAACTGTAACATACATAAAGGCTTTCCTGAATTTTTGGGGGATTCCGTTACCCATAATTCCTAGCAGGAAGGCTTCAGAGTTTTTAGGGAAAGAGCATTTCAACATTTTCTTAAGCTCATTGTAAATAATTTCCCAAAACTGTCTGACCTTTTTACAGTTCCACCACATGTGGATCCATGTGCCCTTTGGAAAGGAGCAGGGCAAGGGGGAAACCACTAGCCGGTGTCACTGCTGCTAAGGTGCTGGTTTTAAATGTATAATTATTTATCGTTGTTTGTTAGATTTGTTAGTTAAAAAACACAGTGGGGGGAAGCCATACTTGTGCCATAAATTGTATCGAGCTGCAACAAAGCCCAAGTCCAGCTACCACCTACAGTATGATGGCCTCAGAGTCCATTTCAGTCACTGAAACAAGTAATTGATCCCTGCAATGGGCAAGCAGTTTGGCAAGATCTTGTGTCATTAAAAGCCAGGCCTTCTGCCATTTCCCAAACAAAAGAGAAGTCCTGTTTGCACACTGCAGTGCAGTGCTCCTGACCTAGCTCATGGCTCAGCTCAGGCCACTAACCCCACGCACCTAGATTTTGAGTACAGTCACCTGTGGCCCTTGCCCGGCTCTGACACCGGAACTAGTTCACCTCTGAAGCGTATTCAGATCTCCCTTTGCGCGGGTGTCAAGCCTGCTTATCAGCTCACGGTGCCAAGTCAGTCCTCCATATTCTTACTGGAATCTGGCTGCAATTGTATTAGAAGCAGGAAGTCAGAAACAAAAACACTGGATGCAGAAGAAGGTGTGTGCGTGTGTGCTGTGTTAAATGTAAAATGTGCTAAAAACAGGCTCTTAAAATATTCTCATTCCCAACGTTTTTCAAGCAAGAACTTGCTACATCAGGGGGAAAGTACTACATTTTTAAGGAACCTGTTTCCAGTAAATTTTTCCCAATATTTTGGTCTTAAAATAATTCATGATGGACACACCCACTCACACCCCATACTGACTTCTGGTTTTCTGTTTCTTTGATGGTGCAGTGCTTGTGGGTTGCTACAGCATTAGGACTTCCATGCTTCGCTGTCCATCAGCTGAATCCTTCTTTGCAGCCATCACAGGATAGCTGGCTTGGCAAAGTTATTGTCAGAGTTGTGCTGCTGTCAATTCAACACACCAGGATTTATTATGACCTCACATGAACAAGGCAGTAGCTATTTCCTATCCCTTGATAGTGAGAGGGGGACTTTTGGCCTCCTAGACGCTGCTGAACTGCAACTCCCAATGGCCCAGCGTGGCCATTGGCCTGGGATGCTGGCAGCTAGAGAACAGCAACGCCTTGTGTGCCAAAGGTTCTCTCAACCCTTGTTCTATCGCACCCGCAGGGCACCCAGATTCCTCCTCAGTTTTCCGCAGGTTCAACCACCGGCATCTCATGTTTCTTTTCTGTGCTTATAATGCTGCTGAGTTGATGAAATCATAATCCGCCCTGTAAAATGCCAATAAGCTATAATGACCTGTGGTTTCAAAAGTCCTGCTTTGATGCTGCTTAGGGATTTGTCTGTAAGGTTGCCAGCAATCAATCCTCAATCATAAAACACAAAGAGACATCACACCTGTTATGGATTGCCAATGGATTATGCCCTTTGCCAGAGTGGCATGAGGAATGACTTCTCAAAGTGATCGTTTTGCAGGCTTTTGCATATTTCCATAAATATGACAAATATAGACTGGATTTGAGCAAAAATATAAAAAGAGCCCTCCTGGCCAAGGGTTCAAATGTTGGTGAGTTGCAATAAGCAGTAGCAGCCTGGAGGCATTCAGTAGGTCACCTTCAGAAATATAATAAATGTATCCCAACTCACCCCAAGTCTCCGAAAATGCCCCTTTCCACTTTGGAAATGTGATGCAGTGGGGTGAGGGGGCATTTTTTGTTCCAGAAAAATCTACTGCAGGAGTGAAGAAGGCAGCAGCCAGACTGCATGGCAGTCCAGCATAACGGCAGTACCTGCCCAAGTTTGCTTCCTCAAGCAGAGACCAGGTAGTGCCCGCTTCACTTTGAAAAGTCTTGCTGTACCCGCCAGACACCAATTCATGTCTTCATTTATCCCTCCACTCTGGGTGTGTCCTGAGGTAGATCACTGCCCCAGCTGCACAACAAGACCAGGACTCAGCAGGGGCTTCACATTACCCACCTCTCCTCCCCCAGCATCTGTAGTAACAGCTCTTGCCTGCAAGAAGTCGAGGTCTCACTGCTGGCAAGGGCTTGGTAAGGAGGCACTCTGTCTCCAGCCCTCAGGGCCTTCCTTCTTCTGGCCTGCAGGCCACAGACAAGCTAGAAGCCTCAGGGCTCCAGTACAGTTTTGTCCAAAAGCCTCCAGGCAGGAGATGCTTTGCCATACTGTCTATGAAGCAAACCCCGCACTCAGTTTCCAAAAAACTCCTCCTCATTATTCATTCCTTACTGAAAAACACAGCCTGGAACCTTTCATCTGGGATTCATCTCCCCGTGAAGCCCATTGACTTCAATGTGTGTTTTACCTGAACACACACCATGCAACCTTCTGCCTTTGCCTTGCTCCTTTGCTAGCATCGCTGATTCAACAACTGCAAGTGGCACTTGCTGTCCTGTGCCTTTGAAAGCCTTTTCCCGCAACCATTTCTATAAATACAAGTGCTCCCAACTGTTTGAAGTATAAAGAAGTGACTTGCTTTGTTTCAATACCGATTTGCTGCGGTGCTCTGCATTTCTAGGGCTCAGCTGTGCTAGACGAGATCCCACACAAGCTGTCTCAGTCTCTCTCTGCTCTGTGATAATATTTACTAGGGAGGAAATCCCAGATTTCCGATACATGTCACACATACTTCTTACCAAGAATAAATACACACGGGGAAATTAAGTGGGAGGTGATAAAAGGAAGCAAGGGGGAGGCAGGGGGCAGGGAGAGAGAGGAAGCAGCAACATCTATTTAAAGGAGAAATATAGTTAAACATCAGCCAAATGACATCATTTTCATACCATCCACACTGGAAGCTTAAAGACCCAAATACTCCACAAGCCATTAGTTTCTCAGTGCCCTGCAAGGGATTAAAGTATGTCTTAATCAACTGCTAAAGCAGAGAGGAAGGCCAAATCCTAGATATTAGCAAAGCTTGGTAACAGTGGAATTTGTAGGGGCTTTGATTTCACTGCAATCTAGTCAATGCGAAAGCTCATTGTTAACAGCCATGGCAAGGTAATGCCCAATTGTACTGTTCTGTGCTCACACATCTGGGAAAACACAAACACACAATGCTGTATGTGTTTGTTAGTGGACGCCACACATGACCGTCTTCTGCAATGCATTTATTTTGTCTGAGTTTCCGAATGCATGCAGACATCTGGAATGATCAGCATAGAAAACATGAATTAGGGAAAATACTGGGAAAGACAATCATGCAACTTTTCTGAAGGCCTTTCCTCAAGTCTTGTCTATATTCAATGATATGATTTCTTCGCCCAGGCTAAGCTCCCACTTCTACACACCATCCTTCCACTTGTGAACCTTTAAGAGTAAACAGCACCTGGTGAAATTCTACCTTTTTACTGCTTAGATAGATGGGACTTGCCCTTAAGTCTTCCTGCAAAAAACCTCTTGCTGGTTGCTACTGCCCAAAGGAACACGCCACCAGTCTTCCCCTTTCCCTCTGAAACCGCAACACAGAAGCAATGCCACTCTGCCTAGGCTACTGCTTTTACAAAGCCTGTCTTTGACTTTAAAAACAAACAAACCACCTTATCTAGGGTTTCCAAAAGGAAAGGGAAACATTTCTTCATTAAACTTTAATTTAATAACTGACAATATAGAATTTGCATCCCTGTCCACAAGCTTTTTAGGCTGCCATTGAATAGAAGAGTAGTATTCTGCCTGCACAAACCCTATTCACATTGGTTTATTGGATGAACAACCTCTCTGTTGCAGAAATTCTGGCACATCTTCTAGCACAGGGGTAGGCAACCTAAGGCCCGGGGGCCAGATGCGGCCCAATCGCCTTCCCAATCCGGCCCGTGGATGGTACGGGAATCAGCATGTTTTTAACATATTTAAAATGCATCTCTGGGTTATTTGTGGGGCATAGGAATTCGTTCATTTTTTTTCCAAAATATAGTCCGGCCCACCGCATGGTCTGAGGGACGGTGGACCGCCCCACAGCTGAAAAAGGTTGCTGACCCCTGTTCTAGCACATTCTCAATTGACACAGAGCACTGGCCATTCCTATTGGGTCCCACTATTGCCCCAAATAAGCAGCAATGGCACCCTCAGTTCACCTACCCTGTATTCTGTGTGTGCTGTTAAGCATGAAGGGAAATAAGCAATGGCAAATAATAGGCTTTTGGAGAACATTATCCATTATTGATCTTTTCACTGAGCAACCCAGATAAGCTTCTAAGGAGCTGCAGGATTCTGCAGAACACAGCTCAAACATCACTTGTTGCAGCCCCCAAACATGGTACCCATTAAAAGTCCAACGTTCTAAAGCTGGAGGTTTCTGCTTGGGCAAAACATCTGAGGATTTGTAAGGGTAGAGAAAAGAGTTCCTCTACCATCTATATTTAACCACGTTATAAGTTCCTTTCAGACATTTCATGAACACTTCTTCCTGCAAAAGCAGAGGTCCTGGTCCTGGCCACGTGGAGAAGACCTCCCCAAATAAAATTTGGTGCACACCATCTCTTTTCAGATCTTATTATGAACATGATGGAGGCTGCAGATGCAATCTCCCCCATCCTACCCCAAAACACATTTATATTAGCATCTGAAAGGGGACTCCAATATTATTATTTGTCAGTTTTCAAATTAATCTTTGTTACCAGGAGAAAAGGTAGGGGGGGGTGTTAAAAATGAAACTAAAAATGCACCATATATCACTCTCCTCATTCTGGATTTCTGGTGACTGACATTCTGCTTCGTTTGTAGCATACAAATAACAAAAGAAAAAAATTGTGGGTGCGTTCTTTCAAACTGAAATGTTTGACAGACTTAACAGCTTTTTGAAATAAAACCTGATGAAATCTCAAATAGAAAAAAAAGTCTGTCTCCACAGTACATGAGAGATTACATTTCAACAGGCCAGGTTTACTATCCTTAGACAGATGCAGATGTGGGTTTATTTATTTATTTCCCTGGCACTTGGTTTCGCACACACACACACACACACACACAGGTTCTACTGCTGTAGCTTTTTACTGACGTCTAGTCTACCTCCTGCTACGGTGAATTTTGATAGCTTGAGTATGAGAGACATTTGCAGGTTACTGTTGTCACATTCTGAAAGCAATTTCAAATCTTGCCTATGCACCAGGTTGGTTCCAGGCATAGACATCCTTAGAGGAGACCCATAGAAAACCAATGCCATTTAAGTTAATCATGACTAATTTATCCCACTGATTTTAATAGGTGTATTCGAAACATAACTACATCTGGATCCAACCCACTGAAATTTGTTCCTGCCACCAGTAGCATTTGAAATTGAAACAAATTGAGAACAGGTTCTGGAAACCTACCCTTCTGTAGAAACCAAAGGTCAGCACATATATGGTTTTTATGTGATATATGGACATTCCACATAGCAGGAAAACGTGCTAGTGGACATGCTCTCCAGCATCAAGGTGCCTGAGAAAGCAGCCTGGGAAGGCCGCACGCCCGTCAGCCACAGAGGGCGCAGCTGGCGGGCGTTCAGGGAAAGGGGAGGCTGCCGGCAAAGCTACGCAGCTCCCCCACTCACTAGGGCGCCCCTGAGAGCCAGCGCCCTGGCACAACAAACCACTAAGACCAATGAGAAAGACGGCTCTGTCTGTATGCATGAAAACCAGACTTGTACTCCTCCTGCCTCTGTCTGAGGGGAGAGACTAGCACAAGCTTTGTTTATGAGCCTCCTCATGGAGCATCACATGTTAACATTACCTGGGCAGTGTTCGGGAGAGGTATAAACCTGCTGCTACGCTGTACAGATGTTATATACCCTCATAGAATCAAGTTGGAAGGGATCCCAAGGGTCATCTAGTCCAACCCCCTACAATGTAGGAATATTTTGCCCAACATGGGAATCAAACTCACACCGTTGAAATTAAGAGCCTCCTGCTCTACCAGCTGAGCTATTCCAACTCAACAAGGCCAATGCTTTTTCAGTAGAACCAATTTACGAGTCTAGGTATCTGCCATCAAGTGCTGGAGCAAAAGCGAAGAGAAATTAACCGACATGTTTTCATGTGGCATTTTGGATTTTGTAGCCAAGAGCAAAATGCACAACTCTTGCGTTAGTTAATAATGGCAGGCGGACTCATCTGTTCCAAAAGAGGGACCATATCCCACTGAGCTGTTTGTGGTGGACTCTCCTTCTTTGGAGGTTTTTAAGAAGAGGTTGGAGGGCTACATGGGGGTTGGACTAGATGCCCCTTGAGGTCCCTTCCAACTCTACAATTCTGTGATTCCATGATGTTTCAATTCCCTCCATTTGGAAGGATCAGGTATTAGATTATATGCTGGAGCTCTTGAGCGAGCCTTTGTTAGTGCACTACTGGGCTAGATGGAGAGTCTGACAACTTCCTATGCTCCTATGTAAAGTGTAGGGTTTTCATTTCAAACATAGATGAGAAGATCCTGCTGGACCAGCCTCTGTTCCAGCATCCTGTTCATCACAGTGGTCAGCAAGATGCCTATGGGAAGCCTGCAAGACAGACCTGAGTGTAACATGTGATTCCCAGCCACTGGTAGGAGGCGGCACATTGCCTGACGCTGGAGGAAGATCTTTTCCCCCTCCTGTGCATTTTGGAAGAAAATATTAGAGTTGCTACTTGCCTGAAGCAAAATGTCAAGGCAAATCTGTACAGATTCCTGCTTGGGCAAAAAGGGCGCTAAGAGAGTTTCAGAAGACTAGCAGAATTGTCAGGATAGGGCACCGCTCACATATCCCTTATTTTATATCCCCACTTTTGTCCCAAGCAAAATGTAGAGAGAGTTTGAGCCTTTGATGACATGGAGGGAAGCTAAAAAGAAAGACGTTGGTAAGTCTAATGACATTTCACAAGGGAAGTTGGGTTAGGGAAGTGGCACATTCCTGCCTCTGATTTCTAAGGTGAATTCGTATTTAGGAATTACACCGCAAATACAAATGTCTGATGAGGTGTCCGTGAGACTCACACAATGCTAAGGCATTTGTTCGAATACCTATACTTCTAAGTAGTTATGCATTTCCCCAACCCTGCTATATTCATTTGTCTTCTCTCTCTCTCTCTCTTTGTGTGTGTGTGTGTGTGTGTTTGAGAGAGAGAGAGAGAGAGAGAGAGAGAGAGAGAGAGAGAGAGAGAGAGAGATTTCCAGGCACAGCAGTGCTGAGAAGGACTGATCAGCCATAGGTCTTTCCACAGTTCTCACAGAACCTTCAAAAACACTGCTTTTAGAAGAAATTATAGCAGCTGCAATGCAAGGACCAACTTCTGTATTCACTGTTCAGATCAGACAGGCAGCTTCCCTTGATGGTTTTTTGCTTTGCCCTTGGCTGCAGTTGTGCGTACAAGAAAATGCACTCAGTTGTAGATGTATGGTTTTGCCCATCTTCTGGTTCCTCTGCTACCAAGGCAGATATCTGACACATGCATTAATAGCAGGTGGGTGGGGTGGGATTGTCACATCGCTCATTGCCTTAAAGTAAGTACTGGCGTGCCCTGGCAAAATTATTTCAGCGACTTTATGGAAGATCTTGGGGGTCTCTCAGAAAATGGATCTCCTGCGGGCTAGAACTCCTTTCTGGGAAAGGGAGCCCGACCCCTCAAATGTCAGCAAGCAGGCAACTGCTTGTGATCATATCACACTGTGTGTCACTTTTGTCTGGAATTTTGATTATCACCTTCTATTAATAAAACTCACTGTAATCGAGCAAGATGATTTTTCAAAAGGTATTTGTTAATCAAGGAGGGAATCTGAGGGGGGAAATAGGAACTGGATAGAGGAAGCAATTAATTGGGGAAGTGGAGGCGGGAGGACAATTGACGTTGGGGATTGAGAAAATACAATATATGATGGGAGAAACTGAGGAAGGAGCAGTTCATTCAGGGGAAATTTGGAGGAAAAGCATTTGTGGGAATTGGGGAGGGGAGGTAAATTCTGAGAGGGGGGAAAGAGAGTAATGAGCATGTGTGTGTGTGAAGGGGAATCAGGAGAAAGCAATAGCATGGAAACAGAGCATGACGCTCTGGGGTGGGGGGGCAGAAAAGCAGCAGAAAGGAGCTTAAGCTGCATTGATTTCAGGAAGGGAGATGGGCTTAACTTACCTATTGAAATTAATGGGACTTAAGAATGCTGCACTTTGGCTGGACTGCGCTCTGTGTAAGTAAATACTTCCAGTGAGGAAAAGCCTCCCTCCTTGCTGTACATGCAGAAAATCTAAAACAGGCCACCTTAACAATGCACTGCTGTACTACAGGGAGAAGGGAGAATGTAGGACGGAATACTTGCACAGGAGGAACTTGAGCTGGTCAGCTCTTTTCTCAGCTGAGGTCCTGACCCCAAAACCTCTATTATTGTTGTCTGCATTGCAGCCTAACAAAGATTTATTTAATCACTCTGCCAATACTGCGTGCACATTCCAAATAAAACATTATTCCAAATCAGCACTACTTTAGTTAACTTTCGAATCTCAGGCCACGCTACAGTGGAATTTCAGACAAACACAAAATATGTGATAAACAGGCAGTGTTTGTAGATCTGATTCAACAGTACTAAGTTCCTTTGCTTTTCTTGTTGCAGAAACACAGAAAGGGGGCTATTATAATTAGAAGTCACTGCTTGAAAACACAGCTACTTGTATTTACTACTGAATCTTTTTTCTTTTTATTGTTAGGATTCTAAGGAAACCTTCTGTTACTAGGTGCTAGAATAGAAATATTGGCTGCCGCTTTCAACTATGGTGCGCAACTGAGTAAAGGGTGTGCCTAGGTTCCTTTGAAAGTACAGTGATGCAATTAAATTGCATAGTGTAATACTTAAGTTTCAAGAAATTCAGTGGTAAGCTGCAGAGCAACCAGCTTTTAGACATCAAAATAACTTTAGTTGCAATAGTTATATTTCACAAGATGGTGTTGCTATACAGTACACATTACTGCATGTTCTGATTAAAAGAATACAATGGACTCTGTTTCTTTGGTATATGCATTAGGCCTGAACCAGGTATAGTAAGGTACCATAAGTACATGCACAGCGCAAGACAGCGCAGTGCTTCAAGATATGCATTCCAATTCACATTTCAAATATAGATGGAATCCCTTGCCTACTAATCAGGTGACTCACATCTGAATACAGTCACACATCCGGACACACACACAATCTCACATAAATTTTAAAAAGTAATTCACGCATGCCCCACTTTGTGAAATCAAGATTGTTTGAAGGAGAAATACTTATAATTCTCACATTATTTTTCTTTTTAGAAAAGCACTGCCAATCCAGAGACTGCCCTCATGTTTGAATGAATGTGAACAGTGCGCAATGTGACCCAGAAGTCGTTTGCATATGTCCACTGTGCTGATCTTTGTCAATGCCAAGTGAAAACCCAAGATTGCAGAAACTGACATTTCTAAGCGACCAGCTCAAGTTATAGTGTTCACACGCACTATGGAATACGCATAATACTTGCAAAAAATGGCCCAGTGTAACATGAGAATCAATTTTGGTGCATCTTGATACATTTCAATACAGGAGGAAATTCATCATGCCAACTGCAGCCCATGAAGCATATAAGGTAGACTTCCAATGGTTCAAAAATGCTATTGATTTTGCTGCAAAAGCAGGAAGCTTGTCATGCGCCTGGTTACAAACAATACAAGCCTGCTAGGCTACATCATTTGGTCTGATGAATCAAGAATAACCTTAGAGTACCTAACGGTCAGGGGTACCTTTACCTTTACCCAGGAAAATGCATGAGCTCTCCAACCCAACCCAATATAGTTGTTCTATCAAAGCAATGGGGCATCAGGCAATACAAATTCATTCCATTGGTTTAGATGCTGCCCAAACTGCTGCCTGTTTAACTGGTGTTAGTTCGCTGGACTTACTCCAACGTAAGGGAGCATAGGATTGCCTTAGGCTGAAATACTAAACACATTTCCAGGAAAGCAAGACTTACTTCCAAGTAAACATGCATAAGATTGTGCTGTAAGTTGGTACTAACTTTAGCTGCTATGGGCTCAAGTCCTGTAATGCATGAAGGAGTGTAAAAAAATACACCTCAAGTATTATTTCCATCTTGAGGGTAGGAATTGGGCAATTGTGCTTAGTTGCTGCCTGATCAATTTGCTTGCAACAGCAGGAAAAAACTTCATGCATCACAAAAATGCGTGTTTTCTATATGTGGAGATTCATCTTACAGGCATTATTTCTAAGTAGGAAATGTTAGCATATAAAGTAGTCCTCAGTGTTATCCTGTCCCACTGAGAATTGACTGAATCAACAACTGCGCTGGAGCAAAGGAGCAGAGGGATCTTTGAGTCTGAAGGACGAGGATACTTCTGACTACAGTGTGGAAAGATCTTTGGGGGATAATAGATGCTACATCTTATATGAATTACTATGGTGTCTCTATGTACTCTGTTGGGGTTTGCAGTTTATGCAGGCTGAAAAGTAACTGATACATAAAGAAAGATGCAGAGCAAGAAACAACGTGATCAATGGATTACACAGGAATTATTGCCGTTTACACCCAGATGAAAAATACCTAAGTGCATCTCTGCCTATTATTAATAATTATACATAAGCAAAACATGAAAACCTATCAAGACGCTGATCCCAAGGTGTTTACGATCTAAAACTGGCTGTGGGAAAGATAGGGCAACAAAGGGAGAGGAGGTAATAGCTGTCTGTCTATAGCAAATATAAACATCAACTATGAACATCACTTTTCACAGAAATATTAAATCCTAGAATTCTGTTTTGCTGTTGAGGAAAACAGTTCGTCCCAGAAAATGTTGAACATGTTGGATCTCATTCTGCCCCAAACCAAATTTCCGCTTAATTTTAGGCCAAGTAGAACTGTGTATTTAAAAAGTTGTCAAATGTAAATGGGTCACTGTTTTCATATCTTAAACATCTGTTGTTTATACCCAAGAAAGCACACTGGGGGCAAGGAAATTAATTCCTCAATTGCTGTCAACTGAGTTAGGGAACAGCAATAAACAGCTTACTGTAAAGCCTCCAGCTACAATAAAACTGCTGTCAATAAAGTGTGGCTGATATGGTTTTGCTGTGCCAGAAAAATATATCCTTTGAAAATGAAAATCTGAAATGGTAACTAGAAGATCCTTCCTTGTCCCTATACACAAAGGAACTCTATTACAAAACTCTGATAGCGCTGAACTCTTAGCATCTTATTCCCTCCCCCTGACACACACACATGTGATGCGATTTAAGAAAGTTATACATTGTACTTCAATGGAAAAACAAACCTTAATGATCCATACACACAACAGAAAAACCACCACATGCATAAAAAAATCCCCAGTGAATTAAAAAAAAAAAGGGAAGTAGGAAGCTTCTTGCAGTTTAAACTGAATGCCTTGCTTAGCATTTCTACTGCTGCTATTGAAAGTAGTATTATCGCTTAAGGTTATATTCCAATTTCCATTACAACCCCCTGTTTTCACTTCCACATGCTTTTCACTTCGTTTAGAAAAAAAGAAAAAAAGAAAATCTTTTTAGCCGACATTTTCCATGCTTGGTCTCAGCTCAGAGATGAATTTCTTTAGACAGCTGAACAAAACCTGCTACCTTTTTTTAAAAAAAGAAGAAGTTATATAAGAATGGGGCAATGTACAGCATTTTCAGTCTTACCACAATTTTAAAATCTTTACTTCATACTTGCACACATATATATATATCTGTGTTTGTGCGCACACGCACACATAGATATATATATATGGAAGTAATGAGTAAGGTTTTAAAATTGTGGCAAGACTGAAAATGCAGTGCTTTGCCCCAGTCTTATGCACACACACCAGCAACACAATGCAAGAACATATTTTTGCCATTCTTCACTAAACACTGTGGAACTGGAACAGTTGTGGCTGCCACATAATGGTTGTTCCACGGCTGTAAGACATCAGCCTTTTAGTGTGGCAACACCGACAACCTTGGGACGTCCTGCCTATGCGAGTCATGCAGGAGCCTTTGCTGTAAGATTTTTGGGCCCCACTTAAACAAATTTAGTTTAGGCAAGCCTATCTATCCAGACATGTAGACGCTGAAATGCTTTAATCTTTTTTTAAAAAAAATTCCATTCTTTAATTTTTTTGTTTTTTTTTACTGTAAGTTTTATTATTCCATGTAATCTGCTTGAGAGGTTTTACGACAATCAAGTGGTATGTAACTTTTGCTAAACAAATAAAATAAGCAAATAGGCAAAATCATGAAACCAAAATGTTTTGATTGATGGAAGGTGTGGGCCTGCTTCTTTACACAATGCGGTTCCACTGTGGTTTTCCACAACTGTTCTTTCTGCCTACAATCTTAGTTTTATGAGAATGCTTAACAGAGGTTTTGTTGGTGTTTATCAGCTCTTATAGTAAATATAAGGAAATAAATCACAGTACAACAAGCCACCTGGGAGGGGATTGTGCCTTCTTAGCTTAGTTAACTACAGCACTAGCTTCTTGTCAGGAGTTTTCTGCATTGCTTAAGGGAGCCCTATATTCATTTTATAGTTTCCTCTACAATTATTTAAGGTTCTATCATATATATATATATGCACCCCATCATATCTTATGAGAGACAACATTGCTCAAGTACTCAGTTGGCCCAGTGCCAATAAACATGATGAAGACTAATTAATACAGTTCCTAATCACTGTGACTCCGTGCTGGAATCCTTGCTTTGCAACCTGGAGGATTTGCACTCAACTGCCCATGAGCCGTAAATCAAGGGAAATATTCCATCTCAGGCCCTGCAAGATGGTTTTGCCTTTCCATGGGACTAAAATCAGAGTGTTCAGATTAGCCTTATCCAGTCTGAAAAGCTTGGTTCATCTTTCTGTTATTTTGCAGAATTTATGTAAAACTTAACAATTCTTGACAAACTGTGGTTAAGATGGAAATGGAAGGAAATGCTTCTGGTCTCTTCCCTACAGCCAATGTGTCCAGTTGGTGCGGCTTCATCTAAGGCAGCAATACCTATCCTTCAGGACCTTGTCTACTCAAAGCATTAATCTTCTCCTTTAGGAAAACAGAATTCTTTGCAGCTCCCATGCCTCTAGAGGGCCACAGGTTCTGCTCTTAAACTTACACACTTGCATTTAACATTATTGGTATACCAGTTCTAAATACCTTTGCTGACATTTCTGTTAAGGAATTCAGAATAATATTCTAATAATAATAATAATAATAATAATAATAATAATAATAATAATAATAAACCATCGCAGCTCACGAAGTTCTATTGTTAAATATTCATTATCCTGAGTATTTATTTGCTAGTCTTGCAAATCTTAGGATCAGTCCATTACCTCAAATTAATCAATGTCATCTAGGATTCTAGGCTGGGCTTTTCTTTTCTTTTAAATGTTTTCATTTACAACAATCCAACAGACCAAGGCTCAGGTGGAATCACTAACAAACTGAACATTGCCTGCTTCAATTTAAAGGAATGTGGGGTAAAAAATATAAAACCCAACAGTACTAAAAAAAATCGTCCCCCTTCACAATAAGGATGATTTTCAAATGTTAGGTTCTTCAGAGCAAAACAAACTGCATTGTCTCCTAGTCTTTAGCTATACTCAGACTGGTTACTTAAATCAGGGCTACGTTGTTGAGCTTAACCCAGGCAATGGGTGTGTTCTTGCATATTCCTAACAGAGCAACTGTTGAAAAATGACAGCCGATTTTGGGACTGCTCCATTTTTTTATTATACAGCTGACTTAAAGGTGGGTGCAAAGATATAGCACAATCTATGGTGGTGAATTCTCCTTCACAAGTCTGAATGAAATAAACCTGATCCACACAAGAGTGCAGCCGTTTTCTTCTATAGCTTCCACTTCTGCAAAGTTTGCTTGGGAGACTCTTCTATGGCGCTACATCCCATATTTAGCCACCTAATGACCAAAATAGAAACTATCAAGAATAATAATGAAGCAGTAAGTCACTTACTGCTGCCCTCCAGCAACCCAAGACGTTCTTCTCTTGATAACAATGTATAAAACATGCCAAGTTCTCCCGCAGAAACACCATTGAACTAAAAGGAGTTATGCAATAGTTTCTTCATTCATTTCAATGGGGTTTGTGCACTTCAAGAGGACTGTGCTATTTGCCAGTATTTTAGGACTACTAACCATAAACTGATGAATGGCCTGAGCAAAACCTTTTGAAAACAAAACTATCTGTGGAGATTTGCATCATGAATTGCAACACTCAATGAAAACCACAGTAACAGTGTACCAGTTTTGATCTATAGCCCGATACTGGTGGTTCTAATCGCATATCAGCACAGAACTTTTATGAAACGGAGAATCTAGCGTTCATATCAAGCCTTGACGTGTAAACCAACATCCATTTAACTACTCACTGGGAAGTATCAACACCTCAAACCATATGGTCACCTTTCCATTGGTTAAAATGAAGGTTGCCTAGTTGCTGCTGACAAAGAACATTCAGGATCCCACTAGCTTAGAGAGCACCCTTATTTGGGACTGTATTTATTGATAAGGCAAGAGTTCTGTACCATTTGAAAGCTTGCTGATCTACCAGTGAAAGAAGGTGCTGTCTGAATCACTTTGGATCTTATCCATCCCTCATCACAATCCAATTATGCATCATTAAAAATAGCAAATCCACATTTACAGTTGTGATGCAATTAAAACTGTAAGTCAAGTGTTTATCCTCTCTCTTTTTTACAATAAAGAAGATACAGAGGAACACTTTGTGTTTAATTTTCCCTCACCCTGAATCCTTGAGTCTCTTGGGTGGTGCTTACATGCTCTGCCAGGTAAATCGGTTTGGATTTGTGATCTTAATCTCCATTTGACTCCTCAAAGAAGTTAAGACTCATTCTTGTAACAGAGCCCAGGAAATGAAAACTAAAGTGGAACAGAAGCGCTTAACATCAAAATAATGTGAGAAATCTGAGTAACAAAAATAAAAGATGATAAAGAGGGGGAGAGCACAATCTAATCTCAAGTTCTACTGATATCCAGAGGTTTAACGGTTGGTGGGTGTCATGATTCTGTTGTTGTTGTTGTTGTTATCTGGAGGGAAGTGCATAAATGACTGTGGATGTTATTTTAGGAGCCTAAGATGCTTTGAAATACTTCTGAAGGAGATATCTGTGTGAAGATTTCCCCCTCAAATGTCTTTTAAGGGATTTAGTGAGTGTTCTGGGGACCATTACTTCAACAAGATACTTCCTAAGTGTGGGCTTTAAATACAGTGCCTTGTTATCCAAGATACGTCCAAAAGTCAAGATGCAATTTTGAGAAGCATAACATACAGCTGGGGAAATGACTCAAGCTAAAGAATGGTCACCATTCACCTCTCCTGGCACAAACCTATTAAAAAGTATCTTGCCCTGTTCTCTTGACTATGGCCCCTGTGATCAGCCCAAACAATCCACCAAAACACTAGAGAATATAATGCCAACAGCGATATGTGCTTGACAGCTAAAGCCTTAGACAATTGATGCAATGAAAACTAAGCGCTAAGGAGCCACTGCAAAACACGCTAGCTTAACTACCGGTCGCTTCAGTGCGACTGTCATTAAATAAAAGGTTTCTTTGGCTTTAGTACCAGTTTGAACCTTCCCTCCCCCATTTCTTATCTGCTGCAGGACTGGCAGCTAGCCAGCCCCAAGCCACATAGTACCTTAGTGCCATCTACAGGCCGATCCTGACATTCTAATTTAGTGGCAAAAGACAAGCACCAGTGAAATGAAATAGACAGCACCGCATTTAAATCTTTATTAGCAAGGAATTATTTGACCTAAGAAACAATACCCCCACCCCACCCCCCCAAAAAACCCTAATGCTGGATTTGGTTGAAATACGAATTTTCCTAACATCCTAATCCTTTTTTTCATATGGCATGTTTCACAGCTTAAAAATGAGTAATGACAGATCACTTATGCACTATAGTATGAGAACATATTTACAATGGAGTGATTTCTCTCTCTGCATAATTCATGTTTTATTCAAAGCAAAATGCATTCGTTCTGAAAGTGTACTTTGGCCATTTTTTAAAAAAAACAAAACACAAACAAAACAAAAATCCTATTGTCTAACAGACACACAACTTTACTACTGTACAACAAAAATCGTTGTAATTCAAAATAGAGGAAGACTTCCTGATAGCTTAGTTATAGCCTGCCAAACAAACACAGTGCAACACAATCTTTGAGCCTTTGTGAGGACAAAAATTAACCCCCTGAACGACAATAACTTACAAATGTTCCAAATCAGTTTGAAATAAACAAAAACAAAAGAAACTTAAGCCAGCCTCGTGTGTAACCAACTTTTCTTTTATCAGAAGCTAACACATTTAATCCTGAAAAGTTCAATATATATGTAGATATATATTTTTCCCTTTGAATTGAAATTGGCAGACTGAAAAATATGTTTTCTTCTTCAGTAAACCTCTATACTAAGATGTTCTTGACAAACTTCACACAATTGCCTTTAACCTCTGACTAGGTAGGTAGGTGTCCGTGTGAATGCATGAATGAACTTGTACGTGAGTGTGTGCATGTCACTCTTTCTAAAACAAAAAAAGTTGGCAACTTACAACTTTGGACCATCATATTCATTCTAAAAATGCATAGTCCTGCCCCAGAGAGATACTAAAGGGGCAGGTATTTCCCCCGCTTTGCTCTATGCATATTATAACTAAGCTAAAATTACAGTGAAAGAAAATATATCCTGGCACTTTAGTACTGGTTGGGTGGGCACTTGTATGCAGTACTTATAGACCAGTAAAAGTGCTCGTTTACCTGTCTGGTGTGCAAGGGGCCCTTTGTCTTGAAGCCTCCTTGGGAACTGCACTCTGAGGCACTGAAGTGATCTGAACTAGTGGAAGAGCGTTTGGAAAGGGTATCACAACCCCCAACAAAGGTGTTGTCCAAAGGGAGTTCCTGAATCACGTGGTGCTTTTTCACCGAGACGGGAGTGTCAGGCTTGAGATGGAAAGCGGACTGTGGAGAGGCAGATTTGTAATGCTTAGCAAGATCAGGGCTGTTAGGCTTAAAGGTGGTGGGTGGAGCCGTGCCCCAGTCAAATCTTCCTATACTTTGCTCCTCCAGCTCAGCTGGAAGGCTAATGGTCCCATTGATAGGTTCATGAACGGCATCCTCCGGTTTGGATTCCTCAATGGTAACAAAATTCAACAGGGAACTCTTGGGAGACTTCCTTTTCTTCCGCTTCTTTTTCTTGTTCTGTTTGTTCTCCTGATTGGGAGACATCCACTCGGCCCCTTGCTTGCTCCTTTGGGCAGCTTTGAAGCGGGAGGCGTGGCGGCAGCGGACCAGAACAGTGACAAAGATCACCACAATGACCACCATGGCACCTGCCACAATAGCAATCATGATGGTAAGGTAGTCCTCGTTTTGATAAGGCTGGCTGCTGTCCCCGATGTTCCTGTCCAAAGGTGTTTCCATAGTCCTGCGGATCAAGTCATAAATATAAGAGGCGTTTCCAGCCGTGTCGTTGACGTACAAAAACACAAGGACAAGGGTATGCAGAGATTTAGGATAACCCAGGTCACTGATATTGACCACTAATCGATGCAGCCCTACATCAGTAGGAGTAGGTTTTTCTTCCAGGGTAATGTTACCCGTCACCGGATCAATACGGAACAAACCTTTGTTGTTTCCACTTACGATTGTATATTTCAGCTCAGCGTTCATTCCCGTGTCAATGTCAACAGCAAACACTTCGGCCACAACAGAGCCAGGGATAGCAGAGAGAGGCACCAGCTTAAAAGAAGTATTTGAAGGTGGGTAGATGACCACAGGGCTGTTGTCATTAACATCCATGACATTTATAGTGACTTTTGCGGTGGAAGAACGAGGCGGTTGTCCTCCATCGATGGCCTTGACGTCAAAGGTGTAGGAACTCTGCTGCTCTCGGTCAAAAGAAACGTTGGACTTTATAACTCCAGAGTAAGGATCCAGAACAAAGTTCTCATTGTCATTCAGGATGGAAAGAGTGACAGCTTTATTTTCTCCTGCATCTGCATCAGTCACTGTGATCACTCCTACGGTGCTATACTTTGGTAAGTTCTCCGACACAAAAAACTGAAAATGGTTATGAGTAAATTTGGGACTGTTGTCGTTCTCGTCCAATACTGTAACGATTACAGCAGCTTGACTTTGCAGGGGAGGGGTGCCATTGTCTCGGGCCGTAACAGTAAAAATGAACCTCTCCTGCTCTTCTCTGTCAAAGACTCTGGAAGCTGTCAAAACCCCTGTCTTTCGATCCAAATCAAAAAAGGAGGCGTTGGGGCCAAGCTGATAAACAATGTCTGCATTTTTCCCACTGTCCTCATCTGTGGCACTAATAGTTGTTAAGTACAGACCACGGCGGTTGTTTTCGGAAACGGACAGCTCAATTACAGGCTGGCTGAAAATTGGAGGGTTGTCATTTTCATCTTCCAGCTTAACTCTTACTAGGGCGGTCTGGTTCAAACTGGGCTTGCCAGAATCGGAGGCAACTATTTTAAAGCTGAATTCTTTGGTGCCCTCATAGTCCAGCAAGGAAGAGGTCTCTAACAAGTACTGGTTGTCATAAACAGCCTTCAAGTGGAATGGCACTTCTCTCTCAATGAAACAGATCACTTTGCCATTCACATCAGTATCCTTATCTGAGACCGTAATTAGGGCAATCTTGGTATTGATGGGGTCTTTCTCAGATAAGTACACTGTGCCATTGATGGGACTTATAATGTACCTGAGGTCTATGTTAGGGGGGTTATCGTTAACATCAGTCACATTGATGGAAACAGTTGCCCGGGCAGGTGTAGAGCTACCATCACTGGCCAGCACCGTCACCTTGTGGATGGCAGTTTCCTCTCGGTCTAAGGCCCTCTGAACTGTCACCAGCCCAGTTGTGTTGTTTAAAGCAAAGAGTCTTTTAGTTGCAGGAGCAACCTGGGCCCCAAAAATATATCTGATTTCCGCATTGCTTCCTATATCTGCGTCTGTGGCATGCAGCTGAATGACCGAGGTACCTACAGGGGCATTCTCTGGTATGTGAACCTCCACCTGACTCTCTTTAAAAACCGGCCTGTTGTCATTGACATCACTTACTGTGACCTGGAGGATAGCTGTGCTGGATTTCTGGGGGGTTCCTCCATCCTCGACTTTGATTTTCATCACATAGGTATCTTTGTGCTCCCTGTCCAAGTTCTGCTGCACAATCAGCTGAGGCCACTTCTCCCCTTCTGGAGTTTCCACGATATCCAGCCCAAAGACACTTTGCCCATTCAAAAGTTCATAGTGTTGCACTCCATTGAAACCAGTGTCGGGGTCTGTGGCCGACGGGATCGGAAAGCGGCTGTTGATCAGAGTGTTTTCAGGTATGGAGATGTTGATGACAGGGGAGGGAAACATGGGGGCATTGTCATTGGTATCCTTCACAATTATTTTGATCTTGATCAGCCGAAAGAAGTCGTTTGGGAGAATCACCACCTCCAGCTCAAAGAAGCACTCATTCTCTTCAGCATAGGCAGCTCCTGCACAGAGTCTCTCTCTGTCGATTCTGTTGGAGGTGGTAAAGATCTCCCCTGTGGTGCTGGACACTTTCACCAAAGGGGCATCTCCTGCTTTGGAGACCAGTCTGTAGACAAGACTAGCGCTGGTTCCTGTGGCGGCATTGATGTGAGAAATGTTCAGATCCTTTGGTATGTTCCCGATGGGGACGTTTTCCGGTAGCTCCTCTCGGATGGTGTAAATAAGTTCTTGAGCCACAGCAGAATCCAGCCTTAAACAGGCAATCAGGGCAGCCAACAGGTAAAAATCCCTCAGGTCCATGATAATGTGTTTATAGCTCCTTCTCAGGGTTTTAGGGTTTCCAGGTTTCCACGATGGAATGCTGCTGCCTCGTTCGCAAGGGGAGGACTGCAGGATGCATCACATCAGAGCTCTTGCTTCCAGACAGCCACTGTCAACACAATCACAACAACAACAACAATAAAAAAAGAAGTGTTATTGACTCATTTTAACTGACACCAGATGCAACTGCCAAGCCCTGCTCCACGTTTCTGCAACACACTTACAAACACCCGGCACCTGCTTTTCTTCCTTCCTTTCGTTTGTGTGTGCAAGCAGTTCCTCTCCATGAATGTGCCAGTATACCACACATTCAGAATGAAATTAACTAGTTACAAGATTGATGGGAGAGATGCCGTTTTCTTCTCTCTCATACACACACACATACACATGTTTGTTCAAATCAGTCCATTGAACTGAGCATACCATGCAATGCTTTCTCCTTCCACGCCAAAATTTAGTGGAAGTTCTTTTTTAAAAAATGCATAGCATGAATTGTATGCCCACTGCAATTTAAAGCATCATGCATCCTGCCTTCTCCCAATTAAATTACCCAGCTACATTTTCCTCCCCTTCCTCCTGCTTGTGTGTTTTATCCTAGGCTAGTGCTGTAAGATGGTCTAGGATCTCTTAACGATTCAGACAAACTGCTCACACTGCTGCTTCTGCAGTAGCTCTCTGGCTACTTCCCATCTCTATTAACTAAGGAAGACAATAACAGGACCTCTAGTTTCTTCCCCAGAGCCAACCAAAATGTCACCTTTTCCAGATGTTCCAGTGTGCCAGTGTATGTGACTTGCATCTGCCGGAGAAGGTTCAACTTCAACATAAACAGAAGATTTGGGGAGGAGGCAGCCTTGAACCAACTCAGAAGCAGCAAGCCAGATGTTTACAAAGAAAATGCAGAAAGATGCTGTTGGGGGTTGGTTTGTTTTTTGTTATGAGGGTTGTATGGGGGGGGTGATGCAGTCAGTGACACTCGGCTGCCCCTCCGAATGTGTTATTAGCAGCAGCTGCCACACATAAATACTGCAGTCTAATAGTGCTGCTTAAGAAAGAGAGAGAGAGAGAGAGAGACTTCTGCTCAGATGCCCTTATGGGAGCAAATAAAGCTCCAGGCGTCCTTATAAGATTGGGGGAGGGGGAGGCGGAGAGAGTTTGGTCAGAAGCACTGATCTGACATCTGCATTAAAAGCTACGCGTTGATATCCGTGATCCTTTCCATTACACTGATGCAGGCAGGTAGGGGCTGCAGAGCCAGCAAACTCAAGCCCAAAGCGACGCGGAGATTCCCCCCCTCCCGTCGGAATATACATTAAAATCAATTTTATTTTTTTAAAAATGCCTCCCCTTCCAAAAAAGAGAGAAGCATATGTAACTTCGCACTTACGTTGCCGCTTTTTCGTGTGCCGATGAACTGCAGCAGCAGCAGCCGAGGAAGGATCCGATCTCCCAGGACCAAGACACAGAGGAAGCCCCGCACAATGCATCGGGCACCCAGGTAGCCACCAAATTCGTCTTTTTTGGAGGGAGAGGAGAGGTGGAAGGGGAATCAGCAAGCAGCCGGCCAGGCGGGCGCTTCCTCCTCCAGAGCAGAGGTGTTGTTCCTCGGTGGCAAATTCACAACTCCAGAGAACAAATTCACAGTTCCGTCCGGGTTCGCCATGCTTCTCTCGGCGCGTCTCTCTCGTCCTCCCTCCACCTTGCCTCCCGCTCCGCCCCTCCCTTATTTACTTGCTCTTCCTCCTGACTTGAGGAGGATGACGAGGAGGATGCTGATCAAAGCGATGCCGATCCCTCTCGCGGCGGCGCAGGCGACACCGCCGGCTCCCCAGCCCCGGCCAAGGCGGCCGCGCAGCCCGGCGAGCGAGCCCCGCAGCCCGGCGCGCTTCTCCTCCGGATCAGGGCATGCCCCGCTCGGCCGCCCGATGCCCGCGCCCGGCGCTGCGCTCGCCTTCCGCGCCGCCGGCAAACTGAGCGCGCAACTTCTTCCCGCAGAGCCCTCGCCTTGCCCGGGACCCGGAGCGGGCTGTTGCTTGGCCGCGCAGGCAGGGCAAGGCAGGCGGGCGGGCGGCGCAGGCTTCTCCTCCCGTCTCCGGCGCGCTCTCCCCTTCCTCGCTCGCTCCGAACTGGGTTTCTTGATATAACTCTCAATAAGCCCACAGGGAGGGCGGGCGCAAAGCCTGCATCGCCCTCCCCCTCCGCCGAGCCGGATTGGCCGGCGGCGCGGGGGCGGGGCCCGGGGCGGGGCCAGCGCGGCGACGGGCAGCCGGGCGAGCGGGCCAGTTGCTCCGGCTCCGCGGGCCGGGCGGCGAGGCTGCCCTTGTGCAGAATGGCTGGTCGGGCGGCGGGGTGAGGCGCACGGGCGCCCGCTCAGGCGGCGCTTTTCAGCCAGCTCTAGTCTTGCCTTAACAGACGCTGTTTTCCTTTTCCCTGTCTGTTTCCCGCTCTTACCTGCCTACCTACAGCGGGGGAAACATTCCGCTCCTCTGAGCGCGTGCAGAGTACCCTTCGCCTCGGACGGCGACATGGGGGGCGGGAAATGGCAGGTTCAAACAAAGCCTGAGCGCAGCCAGGAAGGAGTTGGGGAAGGCTCTGTTGTATTAGCTTGTTGGTGTTAGTCGCTGTGTGGGACCCCTCTCTGCTACTTCTCCTTGTTAAAACTGGTTTGGTTTATATTTACATAAGAACAGCTTCTCGAATGTCCTTCCATCCCTGCTTTGCTCAGACTTCTTCCATAGCTTGAGTACAGCAAGGAGGTAGAGTCAATGACCTGGGTCTCTTCCAACTCTGCAGTTCTGTGACTCAAATACTAAAAGTTGGGGGTCTTTTGTTGTTGGCATCCGTCCGTCTCAGGAGACAATGGAAGAGTGTGCCTTTGGGGATGAAGTCAAATCGGTGGAGAGTTACAACATCTGCTGTGACTGTAGAGACTGATACTGGAGAGAGATGTTTTGTTGCAGCCGGGGCAGATGGAGGCGTCCAGTTGGGCTGCTGCAGATGCACCAGGGCATTTCTTCTCTCTGCACTCCTCCCAGCAGCCATTCCTCCTCTGGTCACTGCTGTGGATGCACAACCTGTCTGTCTCCAGGCACTGCGGTTTTCTGCAAGGGATGCCCACACAGGGGGGTTGATGTTGCCAGCCTTCATGTCACGTTTGTTAGGGGTCTGAGCCCCACATTTGACACCTGGAGTGTCTTGGGTGGTTGCCCCTCACATCCTTCATGCTGCACCGACCCAAAGGGCCCACTAGGCTGGTCCTGAAGCCTCCTCCATAGCTTGCTGTGAATGGCAGAGGTGGATTTAGGAGAGCACAACCGGTTGGTTGGGCGCTGAGCCAAGAGGGTGCTGCAACAATGGCTTAAAACAGAAGAAGGTGGGGGGGGGATTTTGGTGTTGCCCAGGGCACTGTTGAAATTTTAAAGCCCAAAGTCTGCCACTGTGAGTGAGCATCAGAGGTGTCCCATTGGCCAGCACAGCGACTGGGATTGGGGCCTGAAGTAGAGACAGCACCTGCTGCCCTGGGAGCTCTGCCCGCCACTCACTTGCCAGAGTGGGTGACACTGCAGTGGAGCTGCAGGCTGGGGCTGGACCCACCTTGTCAGAGGGCTAGCAATTGGAAGTAGCGGCTCCTTTGCTCACCCAAGTGTGCAACAAGCAGTGGAGGGGTGACAAGAGGCTGCTGCCTTCATTTGTTTCCCCCCCCCCTCTCTTTGGGTGGAGCTACAGTTGGCATTGGATCCTGCAGCTTCCCCAAAGGGAAGAGACCACTTTGGCTGCTGCCTCCCCTGCTGATGCAACCATGTTGGTGCCAGAGGCATACCTAGGCTCCCTTGTGCCCTTGGCAAGGAGCGGTCTTGGAGCTTCTGAAGCCAGGAGAGACCATGGACCAGAAATTCAAAATATTTTATTTTCATCACTTTTTGCTCTCCACCATGACTTCCTCCATGGTTATGCGGGGGGTTGGGAGTTTGGGTCTACTCTGCCTTCCCTTCTCCTCCCCCGTTGGTTCCTCTGTCTGCCTCTGGCCTCCTTCCATTTGCGACTTTCTCTCCTAGCCATTCCAAGCCAGAGTAGAGAAGCATGATTTTTGTGCCCTCTTGGCCTTGCACCTTGGGCAGGGGCCAACCTAAACAACCCCTATGTATGTCCCTGTTGGTGACTGAGCAGGTGAGATGTTTGTAGACCAAATCCTTCACACATCCAGCAAGCTTGGCAAGTAGAGGCCAGCGCAGTTCCTTGCCACCATCACACTCTCCCAAACCCAAGGAATAGCCACCATCCCTCACCTGCCTACTCACTCAATGTAGAGCCCTCTGCCCAGCAGCTGCTCCAGGTAGTCATTCTTCAGCCCTAGTTGGCCTTCCCAAAGTGTGGCAGCCTAGGTGTGCCAGCCCTGGAGGTATTTTTCAAGTGACTGGCTGGTTGCCGTGTGTGTGTTTTAAAATGGTGCTAAATATATCTAGCATCTGGATTCAATTCAAATTTACTCAGGCATAAGGTCAGTTGATGGGCTAACCCCAGTAAGTATGCTTACTATTTAGGCTACAAAATAGGTTGTCAGTCCCATTGAACTCTGTCAGCCTTGCATCTGAGTGGTGCAGCAATGAAACAGCTAGCTCCTTTGCAAAGGTAAGCATGGTCAGGTATGGTTTCAAACCGGATGGAGGACCACATGTTGAGATTCCTGCATTGCAGGGGGTTGGACTAGTTGACCCTCGGAGGTCCCTTCCAATTCTAAAACTCTTATGAATACACATATTGGGCTCTGAATAATCTGTCAGAACCTGGTAGGCTTTCCACTCACCCACCCCAGCATTGGAGGGCTAGGGTTGCAGTCTGCATTTGCTAAGGCACATCTTTGACCCACCAAGCCGAGCTGCAGCCTCCAACTGCATTCTGCAGCCTGAGGAGTGCTTGACAGCCTTTCTTGTTTCCCCAGCCTACTCTCGACTTGCTTCCAGCACACTTTGGCTCTCCAGTTCTTGCTCAGAGCAGGTCAAGATAATGCTATTTATAGGGCCCACTGGTTGATGGAAATGCAAAACAAGTGAGCTTTTTGGCTTTTGACAGCAATATCCTGAACATGACATTCCCATATGTCAGCTGGAGAAATGCAGGTTAAAAGGTGGTGGAATAGATTAGGTGTACAAATGGCTGAAAAGGAGCACTCAAGGAGTACCAGTTAATGGATTGCTCTCCGGGTAGGAGGAGATAAGGAGTGAAATTCCACAGAGGTTTGTCATGGGTCCGGTAGTGTTCGGTATTCCACCCCCTCCCGTTTAATGGCTGGGGTGAAGAAGTGGGGAGAGTGCACATACCACGTCTGCAAGACTGGTTCCAAAGCATGATGGAATTGTTAAAGGGCATGAAAGAATTGTTATACTGCATTACATGACCCCATGTGTGTTGCCTGCTATGCTTTTCCCCAGATCCTGCACTGTTTCAGAGGTAAAAATAGGATCATACTTTGAACACTCCTGCTCTGATTCTTACCTATTCAAGAGGGTTGGCGGCTCGTTTCCATTGTTGGATGCACTATTTTCATTTAGAATAGTTTTGTCCTCAAAAAAAGAAAAGGGTTCTTAGGTTAAAGTTATACTGGGAGAAAAAGAACAAAACATTAATTGTCTCCTGTAAACAGCAATTCAGAACATCACCGGTTGTAGTGTGTGATGCTATGCACTTCATGGTAGTGGTTGCAAGATACCATAGTGGTTATATGTGTATACAATTGGGGCTCATCAGCACTTCCTTTTTTGCCACACGGATCCAGATTTTCCAGGTCCAAATTGGAGTAGGTTTTTGTTTGTCCTGGTGCTTTCGCTGGGAAAACCCATTTGTTACCACTGAATCAGAGCAAGTAGCAACCAGGTTTTCTGTGGATTGCCATTTGCTCCGATTCAGCAATAAAACCTGGGTTTCCCTGGGGAAAGCACCGGGGCATGGGGCGGGGACACTGTGTCCACTTGGACACAGACCTGGAGAGCCTAGATCTGTGCCTAGAAAGTGCAGAGCAAAGGAAAGTATGGATGAGTCCTTATGCTATGCATGTAGAGACAAAATGCATCCCCCAGTAGCTTTTGGCCATGCAGAGATTTCAAGGAAGAGGCTCAAAGCTCACTCTAACACCATTTTTACAAGACAGCTCCATAACCATTCCAAAAGGCAGAGGTGGGTAGCAAATACCTGAGACTGCTGCCAGTATTCAGGGATTCCTGAAGCACATGACTTCCAGATCCCAGGATCTGTTATTCTTACTTAAACTTACTTGTTTATTCATTCATTTTATTCTCTTTCCAATTCAGGTGGCCCCTAGGTGGATCACAGAAATATCCCTAAAAATGCAATAAACACTGTCCTCATTTTAATTTTGAAACAGGACATTTTCATTCCAATGAAGGTAGGAGGACTGTGATCTTGTCTTGCAGACATGGCTTTACTTAAGATTTTCTTTCAGTGTGGTTCTTGGATAGTTCCTCTTAGTTTGTAAGAGGTTCCTTTGTTTCTGCCTGGCCTCATTGCAGCCTTCAATAGCAGGTCCAGCACTGCAGGATCCCCAAGGAAACAGGCAAATTCCATGTAATAGACCCAGTGTTAGTGCTTGGGAGAACTTGTAGCAATCTCAGTCTGAATGTTTCTGGACTACAATGCCCATCAACTCTGTCCATTGGCCATGTTGGCTGGAGCTACTGGGAGTTGGAGACCAACAACATCTGAAGGACCAAAGGTTCCCTGTCCCTGCCCTATATCCTCTGAAGGCGCTGCTGGAGGGGCTCCATCCTGACCACTGCTGTATAAAACATGGTTCCCTTGCCCTCTTTAACTTATTTCAATGTTATATTTAATACATGCCTCTTCATCTATAATTCATCTTTTTCTGACTCCAGCTTCAGTCTGCGTCCCATTGACTCTTGCGCACCTTTCTCATTTTCCTCTTAAGGGTCAGTTGAGAATTCTCTCTCTATATATAAAAAAGGATTGGGGTTTGTATGTTTGTTTCTTTAAAAACCACATGAAACAGAATGAGACACTATCATTTACTCTGAATTTTTAAATACCTGTTTATTCTCTGGAGGAGTTGGGTGCATTATTCATTTATCAACAGAAAACATGATCAATTACTTGCCTTCCGCAAGGTGGTATCAGAATAAAATGACGCAAGAGCCCAAGCATTGCAATTTTCCCAAAAAGGGAAAATCAGGGTTCTAAAACCTAATGAGGAACTTCCATTGAAAGGCTATTTAAGAATAGGAAGTTGTCTTTATTCATTTCTGTGTGTCTCTATTAGTTTCTGTTGTAAACTACACAAAAACACAGCAAAATAGCCCTATCATCCAATTCCAACATTCTCCTGCACCTCTTGATTTGAGCAATTTGATCAGTCAGCCTACTTTGTATTATGGGTCTTGGACAACGTAGCAAATCCAGGACAAAAGGGCAAAAGGAAAGTTTTTGCTTATTTTTGCCATCTGTGGCTCTTGCATTAATTACATTTTACTGTATCACTATGTAAATAATTGCATAACTAAATTGTCCTCCCCTTTGGCCCATTTAAAATAATATATACACACATATGAAGCAATAAGATTAATATATGAAGCAATAAGATTAATTTGGAATGCCAGTGTAAGTAAGAACTCGTGGTGGTAAAAACAAGCTCAATGAATATGCTAGGAGTAAATAAGTTGAAATTCATTTACCATATATTATTCATCAAGATCTGGTGTGTGTAGCAAATGGAAAGTTCAGTTTAGACTAAGGAGATGAGATGAGACGCGTTGGAAATTTCACACGCACAAACCCCAAATATCCACAGAGAACAATGTGTCAGGCATAGGCAAACTCCGGCCCTCCAGATGTTTGGGACTACAATTCCCATCATCCCTGACCACTGGTCCTGTTAGCTCAGGATGATGGAGATTGTAGTCCCAAACATCTGGAGGGCCAGAGTTTGCCTATGCCTGCACTAGTTGGTCTTGGGCCAGACATTCTTAGCCAAACCTACCTCCCAGGACTGATGAGAGGGGAAACTGCTATGTAAGCTACCATGAGGCTGGATCCCAGTGTGACAAAGATGAGCGATACAAAAGACTCTTCCATGCAGCTGGGAATCCTGTGGGATCTGGGGTTCTGCTAATACGTATGGCGCCTACGTGCAGACTCTTGTATGCATGTGAAATTCAGTTTGCCCCTTCCAATGGATGTGCAGAGATCAGGGCCAGG